TTGTACCAGGGCTTATTTGGAGATTACTCGGTAAATTATATATTCGAACTTATAAGTCATTATTGAATAGGTGTATTTGGCAATTTATGTGCCCGATTTAGAGATTTAGACAGATCTATTACTTTCTTACAATTTTCGAACGGTTAAAATTTTTTTATATACTTTAAATGTATTAATAATGTGCCGATAATAAGGCATAAAAAAAATGAAATAAACATCAATCGTTCCCACATAAAATGTCAATATAGTACGACCGTTTTATATAAAATCTTTATTTTTACAAGATAAATAAAATTAACATGAGAGCACGTTATTTTCAAGTAGAAACAGCAATATAAGCTAAAATAAAATTAATATAAAAATGCATTTTTTCAAGCAGAATTAGCAATTGAAAACTAAATAATCTATTTTTTCACTCTTTTTGATGCACTAGCTTCTCGCGATGAACTGCTACTTCTTTTTAATGAACTTTCGTTTTTTGATGATAAACTTCCAGAACTCAAATCAATTCTCAGAACATGTTGCCTGACCCGTTTTCTAATCCAAAGTGGTACATTCTGATCTATAACATTTTTGGTGGTAACATAATTCTGCTTTTGATATTTATCATACAACTGTGCTGGAACAACGAAATAAAAGTCGATATAACCCGTCTTCGCTAATTTTCCATGAAGTTTTTTCAACCCGATTGTATTAATAGAATTATTAATAGCTGTAGTCATCTGGAAGAGGTACTTGGGAGAGAAAATCGCATCAATTGATGGAAAAGTTTTGTCGATCGGTTGATAGTACTTCTCGTTTTCGATATTATCAATTTCAGAAAACTTAAGTATCTTATCCTGTTGACACAATGTAAGATTGTACGTTTCATTGGAATCTAAAGAACGAACTTGAAAAGTTCCTCCACCCCGCAACATTCGATGTACAATCGTCTCAAAAAAACTGCCCAGGATTGAATCACTTTTGCCTCCTTCCAAGACCGCATCCATGTCTTTACACAGCTTATCCGTTATTGTCTCTCTAAGTTTCTTGGCTACTTGTTCACCCACATAATCAGACGCGAATATAATAGTTTTTAACATATATGGTTTGGTATCTTCACCGCTTTCAGCTCCTTCATCGCCTTCGGCATCATCTTCCTCCGTTGGAAGGTTCGACCAGATATGTATGAGTTTATAACTTATGTTTCTTTCGCTTTCCCTTCCGCCAATATATCTAAAGATATCTTCATTACATACTTCAAATGCATCTTCGAGTTGATCTTGGATTTCTTTTTTGAGAGCACTCTCCAAAACATATCTAGGAATCCCTCCCCACCTCATAAATAACTCTCGAACCTTATCCCTACTAAGGCTTCCGAAAATCTTATTTCTACACGTATCAATTTCATTCCAAGACCAAACCGGCATGTATCGTATACTTGGAATACTTTTATAGAAGTCCTTATAATGATCTTTCAATGGAGAACAAATAAGAATTGTCTTGGCATCAACTTTATCTGGTTTTTTCCCATCCACAATATGCCAAACATTAGGATCATCCAAGTATCTACCAATTTCGTCAGAATCGCGTGTTCTGTGTAGATAAAAGGCCCTTTCCTGCTCAAATAAAATAACCCGATTTGATTCACTCATGGTATGAATGTCGTATATGACTGTTTCATTTGAATATGCGAGGTGATAAAGCAGGTAATAACCAAAAAAGGTTTTTCCGATTCCTGGATTACCCGAGATACGCAATTTCCTTATATTTTTATCAAAAACAACCTTGAGCAGGTCATTATAGCATTTACGAATGAACAATATCGAAGGTTCTGCACTACTTCCAAAAAAATGAGCATCCCCGGACAGTTGGAAGAATTAATCACCAATATTAAAATTCGTAGCCTTTAAAGCCTTCCAAAGGTTCTTCAGCCTTTCGTTCTCAATTTTTTTGTGCCCGCCAAGGTATTCTGTGTAATATGAATAAATAAGAGAGGAAAAAGCAAATAAACAAAATAAAAGTGTAAGATTGGAATATTAATGTAGCACAACTTCGGCGGTTTTTTTATTCCATGGTCGTTCATGATTTTATTCATCTTTGTTTCAGATACTAGGATCATGACAGGATTTCTCCGAGACAATGTTTCCTCTACTGCACTTTCTATTATCTTACTTAAATTTCTTCATGTTTACGATTAAACTCGCAAAACGCGTAATGCCTATTTAAACCTATTTTCTTAATACGTACCAAATTTATTTACAATAACTTGGAGAGGTGTGCTTGAGTCATTCGCAAAACTTTGGTCCACAGCAAGTCCAGGATCTAAGTCTATTTCTTTGTCGTGTCTTCTTAAATTAATCTGGCTAACATCAATACCACCTAGTTGATTCGGCAGTTCCTTCATAATCGCTTTTTTTAAGTCGTGTACATCTTCTCCATCGAAAGCAATTTTCACTGGTTGATTGTCTGCGTATTTGGCCCAAATTTTAGAAGGGACTGACGAGGAGCCTATGTGAAAGTTCTCGAAGCCTATTTTTTCGCAAAAGGTAATGAGTGGCTCCACTACAAAAAATATTTATAATAAGTTTACCACTAGATAGTTCCGTTCGTAGGGGAGGAGAATTTTCTGATATTTCAACGCCTCTGCTTTGTGTGGTTGTACCAGATGTGCCAGATGTACTAGTAACGATATGTGGAACGTCCTCTACGGGAGATATTTTTCATTAATTATTTCTTCACAATATTGAAAATACGTGTACGTACGCTGAGACTTCATCGTTTTGAAAAATGTTACACAACACATCATCATCATTGATAGCCAATACGTATGCATTAAGGGTATTGTACTAAGACCACGTGATATAATTCCTTATCATATAGAGTGCCAAACTCCAATTGCATGGTCACTTCATTTTACGGCATCCTCTAACGTGTCTCAACCGCGACTCAATTGAGAAACGCCTATTTTTCATAGAATTATGTCGGAAAAAAATCATTGCAACACAACAGTAT